CAATACCAAACCCTCACGCAGTATATCATGTACGTATAGAAGTGTGCATGTATGTCTGTATATATATATATATAGAGCGTGATAGAGAGAGATTGGAAGGGAGACAGAGAGAGAGAGAGATTAATGTGTTGCTGCCCTCGTCTCTGACTCGGTGAAGCATCAGCTCAAGAAGGGTGTCCATAATCAAGGTCTCGTTACTGCGGGGGTATCATGCTCTGATGTTAGTCCTCCTGAGTGCAGAGTGGCATGTCAGGGGTAAACCCTGAGCCAGTACAGCCTTGCAGCATAGCACACACTCACCGGGGGAACACTCCCGTGATCAAAGAAGCAAGGATGGATTGCAGGTCTCATGCCTTCCTTTAGCCGTTATGGTCACTCTTTCGCGTAGGAGTGTCGTTGCAGATCATTCTAGACGCAAGTCCATGCCCTCAAGTGCGCACGGAGTGAAACTTACTGGCACCACAGCAGGCGGGGGGCGGGGAAGGGGGGGAATAGCATGCGGTGGAGGGCCACAAGCCCTTCACCACAGCTGCGGGGAAAGAGAGAGAGAGAGAGCACACATACTGCTTTGCATGACATGGTTTTTCATGTGGACTTCAATAACTTCTGGCAGTGGCAAGCAGCCCGGGGTTCTCCGCAATGTAGTCCCGAGAGAATCATGCTAAGGAAGTGTAGCTTTTCAGGTTTGCGTTGCTTCAATTGCACATGGAAGCATGGTCCTCGTGGGAGTCTGTGCACCACGATGCGGATTAGCCCTTGACCGTTTCGAGTACATGCCCTCATGTCTTTTGGTACAGTTTGGTACTGTATACTGCTGGCTTTGTGCTGTACGGGGGACCTGCACTCTCAGCCTGAATCAGGAATGCCACCCAGGCAGTTTATGTCAGGGTCAGAACCTGAAAACTGTCGCAATCCTCCCAATGCCCCATAACACAGGGGGGGGGGGGGGGCTTAGAGCCCAGGGGATTTAACAGCTCCCTTATGCCCGATGGAAGAAGAGCACACATACACTCCCCTTACAACAACCTTGAATGTTTGATCGGCTACTTTGAGCTGTTTGTTAAGTCAGCATCGTGAAGGGGAGTGTGCGAAATCCGAGTGTCCATCAATTTGGTGCATACCGAAGAGGGACTCCAAAGCTTACTATGTTAACATTACTTGCTTGGTACGTTTGACTTTCATGGTTTAGTGGGTCCCGCCACAGTCCTTAAAGTATCACAGTCCCTGCAAAAAGCCCCCCAAAAAGTGGGGGGACCCTAGTGGCCAGAGGGCTTGAGACGCCTCCTAAGCGTGGAAGAAGAGAGAGCGAGCGAGGGTGCAAAATTGCACTATACAGTCCTAACAATCCAGAGCAGCCAACATCAATCACTTTCCCAGTGACACGCACACACACACACACAGTCAAGCATACATTCCTTTGTGCGACCAAGCCAGTCCATTCGGCGTCATAGCATTCATAATGCATCATGTTTCATTGGGAACATTCTAGGGGTTGTGATATTTTACACAGTCCCTTGATCCTGACTACACGTTCGCCAGCGATCAATAAACATGCGAACAGGAACAGTCGGCTACCTCAGGTTGCATTGGACATCATTGGACGCATTTTGGACTTTTGGCTCGACTCGGTCGACATTCGAGTCATTGCAAAAAGGGAGGCCGTTGCAATGCACAAAGCATTCGCAGGCAGTCGGGTTCAGATCCATTCACATTGAACTTCACCCTCTACGAACCGCAGAGAACATCCATTCAACATTTCAAAGCAAACTTCACTCTGCCAAAACATGCGGCATTCGCTGTAGCACTCCAAATACTCACTCCGGGCTCACTCGGCGGCCTCACTTGATGCCCTGGACATTCATGCGGGGAACAGTCTCTGCGCCAGGCAGAAGTGCATTGACGACCTGGGCGATGGCAGTCAGTTGCGGGAGCATTCCAGGCATTCGGATCAGTCGGCTCGCCATCATCATCCTCGTACAGTTCATCTCAGGTGGAACATGAATCCACCACCATAGCATCGCACAGGTGGCACCACGGTATGGCCCATCAACCTCCATTCCACGAGGTTGTTCTGGTGATGTCGGGGCCACAGTCCATTCGGGTGATGGCACGCTGTTTCGCGACTCCACCGCATTCCGGCTGAGGCGATGAAGCATCATTTCTTCATTCATCAAGTGGCGGGCCTCCTATGTGAAATCATTCCTTCTCACAATCGGCTTGGCCGGCGCCTGCGGGCCAGCCGTGGCTGCTGATCCCTTCCTGATGCCCAGTGCCGTGTTCACCTGCTGCACGGGGCCGCTGCCGCTCGCATTCTCCGCAGGCTGCAGATCGACATTCGCAGTCCGGCGAACAAGGGATTCACCCATTGCCAGTCGATGCAGGTGTTTGACCCGGGATTTGGCCCATTAGGTGCCATGAGACCAGCGCGGTCGCACTCCTTCATTCTTGATCTCTTCGACAGTCCGGCCACTCGTCCCGCCACTCAGCTGGGCCAAGATCTCTGCCAGCTCATTCACATCAATCGCATCAATCCGCTCTTCCTGGATGACCGTCACATTCTGCTGCATTACGGCAACAGTCTTGCGGGCCATTGCTTCAAACTAGCAAAGGAGGCGGCAGTCTACACTCTATGCAGTCGGAGGCCGCACTAAGGAACATTCAGAGGAAACATTTCGGAGGGGCAACACATTGATCTCAATCTGCAACACAGCTGTCTCGGACAGTCCCTGCATAGCGACACTGTGCATGATCACTTCTCTCACAGTCTCTCACGCTCTTCAAAACCCATGCCAACTTCTTTCAAATTCATTTCAAACTTTCTTCAAGTTCAAAGATTCCCTTCAGGTTCGCATCAAAATCTGCAAGACATTCAGGCGAGCTCCATTCGGAGTTCAGGAGAATTTCCGCACATTCTTACAATCCTTTCGGGACCGAACCGGCGCTCTACACTAGATCGGGAACCACTTCGGCAGTCTCTCACTCTCTTGTTCTTTGATTTTGGAGTTTTTCACGGAAACTTACAGTGCACATGACAGTCATGACATGCAGTGGCACTCTACGCTGAACACAGCCATCTATTGACATGTGACATGCATTCACCCCAGAACATGCAATGACTGCAATCGACGCGACTCACTCACACAGACCCTCGGCGTGAACTTCAGTGCAACGGCGTCCAGAGTCCAGAGATGCATCGCGCACAGTGCATACAATCCCAGGCAGGGCGCTTGCGAGGGTAGGAACGGGTGGGGCGCGCAGTGGGTCATTCCCAGTGTGATGGATGGGCAGGTGGCGTGCAGTGAGTATTCAAGGCGGCAACATGATCATCAATGAGCATCAGTGGCGACATTGTTGTTGAACCAATTCGAGACCACTCCCAAGTGGGTCTTCAATCTTTGCAACACATCAGTGGC